TTGGCTGGTTTACCACATCAGGTGTTGTGACACCAGGAAAGCAATAAACTTACTTATCTGAAAAAATAGTTTAAGAACAAAGGTTTATATGAGTGTACAAAAGTTAGTTTATACACATTTTCAGTGTTTTAAATAGCTTTACAATTTAACATTTTTGTATTAATGAGTGGCTGTGCCACCTGACACTGTGTGATGCAACTGATTATCCTTTTTAAAAAATAATAAATATCATTATAAAAGCTATAAAGCAAATATCATAACATTGAATAGATTAAAATTACACATCATATACTTCTTAATAGGACTTAACAAGTGGGGTCCAAAAGTATCAGACCAGCAACAGCAAGTTTTAGATTTCTGAAAGTTTAAACAAAAACCAGTCATGATAAATAATATGAAGGTGAAATATTCTTATTTCTAACTCATTATTCAAATTTAAGCAAATTTGTTACACAGACCATCTTAAGGTCTCTGCGCAAAAACATCAGATTTGTTCCGAGTCTTATTTATTCCATTGAAGCTCGTGTTGAGACGACTCTCAGGTAGATCTGAACTACTGAACAGAGGCTTTTACACAAACTTCTGCAGTCCATGCAGTTCAAGTGCACTCGGTCAATAAAATGAAAGAGGGACATACATACCAAATACTAAGAAATTCTAAAATTCATGTATATTATGTGCTTTATTTGTCTCTTAAATTACGTTGATAATATAATTTGTAATGACACACTGTGTACTAAATTAGAAAATTATGCAAAATAGAAACCCCACTGTATATATATACACACACTCATAGGCGCACATACACACACATACACACCCCTGTGCAAACCTCTAAAATACTGTTTTCCTTTGCCACAACCTGAATGTGAGAATTTTCTATGGCCTTGTCAACTTGCTGCCCTGCTGCTGCCAACAATTCATTTCCAGCACATCATAACCACATGTGTGCGTGTGCATGTAAACTCTGTTGCCCAACCATTTTACTGGCTTCTAGCACAGCCCAGTACATTACCCTGCAACAGCATCCAGCCGTTTTCGCCACAATACTCCGGCTTGTTTGCAGGCCAGCGCCTGGTTAGCATCTCCTAGCATAAAAAACAGCATTTGTTTGCCATCCTGTCTTGTCACTCGGTGCTGAGTGACATCAGGGGTGCGTTTCGCCACACTCAAACACACACTGGGCAAGGCATGGAGAGCAAAAGCAGAGCTATGAACAACACCATACAGAGACTTCGAACCGCCAGAGACAGACAGGGAGAGGAAAACAAGGCTTTACAAAAAGCGCTAATCATGGAGTGCAAAACAGGGACCTATTTGTTCTCAAGATGGACTATTGTGTGTAGTAGTGGGCAATAAATTAGCTAATCTGGTATATCGGTTGAAATTCTTCTCACGATATGAGTTTTGACATAACCTTCCTGCCACAACAACCAGTGTGCCAGACATAAGTGCAGGTGACTGCAACGTGCAAACAGTTCAAAACACAGTAACAAGTAACATGCCCATTTTGCCGTATGGCTAATGGTCCATTTAGCTGAATGGATTCAGGGATGTTTCAGTGATGTTTCACTAACAGAAAAGAAAAAAGAAACTCAACGACTTGAGCTTTTGAAGGAGTGGACATTAACGAGAAGTATTTAAAGAATGGTTGGCCCACTTGCGGCGCAGCTGTTTCCTCTTGCACTGTCTAAGGCACCACCTCATATGGTGAACTGCCTCAGACGATGCTTCAATCTCCAGACCTAATTTTTACATTTTTGTTACACTGTGATATACATTTTGTCTATACCACTCACTACTTACTGTGTGTATTAATTGTTGTGGTTGGTGGCTTCATATATGTACATCCTCTACAGGGAAGACATACAAATACGGCATTTTCTGCTAATTTTATTGCATAATTTCTATTTATTTCAGATTAATATATTGGCAAAATAAAAACATATTATATATACTATTGTACATAAAATAAAATGTGCCATAATTTTTGCACAGGCCACATTTTATGTTTTACATTTGTCCCAATATGTTAAATTCAGCACATAAACAGTAACTGAGCATTCAAAGTGTGTGCAGAAGTGTGTTTTCTGTAGAGGACATATTAACTTTGCTTCAAAATCAGCGCAACAGGTAATTTGACCAGTGTTGCGGCATCTGGCTGCAAATATACACACACATAAAAGTTTCCAGTATCTGCTTTATGGTGCATTCATTGCTAACACAGTCGTTCAACTGCACACACATAGTTCAGTCTCCAAAGAAAAACAGTGACCAACAGAATTGAAGCAGCTGCACTTGCCCATATAGGTTACTTATATAGGCATGTGCAGCCCATATAAAGGGTATAAAGCTCCCCAGCCCTGAGCTGTGCAGCAGTCAAACTGTGTTCTCTGGAGTGGTACCTTCCAATACCTTTGGGATGAGTTTGTGATCCAAAACTGATCATCCAATGTCAGTACCTGACCTCGCAAATTCTCTTGTGGCTGAATACAATCAAATCCTCAGAGCAATGCTTCCAACATCTAGTGTAAAGCCTTCTCAGAAGAGTAGAGGCTGTTACTGCAGAAACGGAGGACAAACTCACTATTAATACCCTTCATTTCAGAAGAACTGCTAATGTATAAAAACACTGCAATAACATTAGCAGTAAGCATGAAGGCAAAATACTGAGAACAGTTTCCAGAACTTCACACAGTTCGCTAAAAAGAGCGCAGTGGTGCAGGAGGAAGGGAATTTGGGCGACGTAATTCCATCTGCGTCTGTCCAGCTGCTCCGGGAAAACCGTCATCCTCCAGAGGACAAACAGCAGATCTAATTATCAACCCAAACGGAACTACTTAATGTTAGCGAACATAAATATTAGCATGCACACATGCTGTACGTATCAGCTTCAGCGGCCCTGAAAAGGCCTGGAACTGATTATTTGGATACGCAAAGGTGTCCTGGGATTTTTTGGGTATATGGGGCCTACTTCAAAACAACCAGTTAGAATACCAGTGAATTAAAAGGATTTTTGGACCTCAGGTCTTAGTTGAAAACGAATACATCTGACAAGAAATCAAACAATTCTGCGAATTGAGCAAGAGGGGAATTTCAGTGGTCATCTGCTCTACGATTCTTTCAATGGTCTAACAGACTACTACATTTCTTCAAGTGTTTGGTTTGGACAAAGAGCCAATTCCCTTAATACTTGTGGGACAGCTAAACGTTTAAAAGTCCTATTTAAAAGGATCAAGTGCATGCATTGTTTGGTTATGTTAAACAGATGTGTCGGCCTTTCAAGATCTCAATCATTCCCTCCTCCAAAACAAAAATCAGAGCTTATGAAAATAAACATGGTTTCACCCTACACAAATTGTGGACTAATTGTGTATTTGGACTGACTGGTCGGTGGTGGTCTGGAGGCTTTTTTTTCCCCTCACGGGTTGGGAACTGAGGGGAAAGGCAGTTTGACATTGATTAGTGTGTTGACTTGTGAAATCTGAGAGTTTTACCTGGATGAAGTGAGTTTTGCCACAGCCCTGTTTCTATAACTACAAACTACAGGTTGAATTAAACCCTTCAGCAGGGAAAGTTAGCGGGACCTTCAAGTTCAATCATAAACTGTGCTGACATGTGATATAGCTGTGAGGAAAGAGAAGGTTAATAATCTTAGATGTCCATAAAAACAGCACTGTGAGAAAGCAAGTGACTAAAAAGGTTTTCTACAGCTCTCTACTGTGCAGTCTTAAGAAAACCATAGCAATGATTGTGGGCTTCAAGTGAACTATACGTTTGTAGAATGAGGAATCTTCTCAAGAAATAAAATAATTTCTGTCCTTCTGGTTCTCTACTCTGTTAATTAGTGTTGTGTGAGATCTTCTCTATAACAGTGCCCCTGTGTTGGTGCCACACCACAATACTGATTTTTTGTTTCATCAGTATTTATAGTTAACAACTTAGTAAATCATTTGCTGAGAGCTTTTGAAAGAACCGTATAAAAACGGTTAAAAACCAAATAAATAGTAACTTTCTAGAAATCTGGCTTCCAGCCGGTTTGCAATGCCACACAGTATTGCATTCAGTGTCATTTTTATAGAAGCAGAACAAAACAGACCAATCAAAACGTTATATCAGGTTTGTAAGACATTCTTTTAGCACAGCGAAGCGGCTCTCAGGGATCTTTAACTTTATTATTGCTAACTTAAATATTATCTTGCACCCTTATGCTTTAATATATTTAGAAAATATCATCATGAATTTGATCCATACCACCCAGCACTAATATTTATGTATTTTTGAGACTCAATACAGACTTTTGTTTGAAGCAAACAAACTAACTAATGCTGGCAATCGAATCCCAAACAGACAAAGGTCAAATCAAACTTTGGTCTATGTCGATAGTAGCTTGATGATCATGTGAGAGTCATGTAATATGTCATGTGAATATTTAGGTTGAACCTGTGTGCCCCCATTTTGAACGACGCTGAGGACGGCATGAGCTGAAACATGTCCACCGTGAAATAAAAAGGTTTAAGCAGCTATAATCTCTTGCTTAGATCATTGCTGAGTGTGGGTCTCCATGTTCTATGGCAACTGAACTCCACAAATCTCCATTTTTAACAGTATGAGTTTGACAATAATCTCAAACCAGTCGTGCTTTTTAATGTGTAGCAACAGTGTAACATGCAGTAACCACATTTTCTTTGTCTGACCAGCCTTCGCTCATATAAATATAAGGGGCTCTGAATGAACGGACCGTGGATTTGACCTGTAACACTGAGGATATAGCCTTTAACACTGTTGAATTGACCTGTGACACTTTGAATGTGGCCTGTAACACTGGAGTTGACCTGTCACACTGTTGATTTGACTTGTAGCGCTGTGGATTTCACATGTAACACTGTTGATCTGGACTGTAACACCATGGACTTCCCATGTAATACTGGAAATCTGGCCTGTAAAACTGTTGATTTGGCCCATAAACTGCTGATGTGGGGGCACTTGTAGTCACTTACCATACACTTGTTGGGCTTCTCTCCAGAGTGGACTCTCATGTGGATGAGCAGCTTGTAGCGGGCGTTGAATGGCTTGTATCGACGGATGCATCCAGCCCAGAAGCAAGTAAAGTCCTCACCTTTCCTCTGGTCAATGTGCACCTTTTCGATGTGCCTCACCAGTTCCTCCTGCTGGTCGTAGGCAGCACTGCAATCGATCCAACGGCATATCTGCTTATCGTTAAAAACGATGGAGTCGTCCCGCTCCATGGACTGTAGGCCAGCTGGGCCTGAGGCTCTGGGTCCAGAAGGAGGCTGCTGAGGCTGCTGCTGGTTGTGTAGGTGCAGCACTGCACCTGAGCTGGAGCCCATATTATACTGGTGCAGGTGGTATGGAGGAGGCATGGAGGTCCGCTGCTGCTGCTGCTGCCCCCGGTTTGGTGAAAGAAAATGATGGTGAAAAAGCTCTTCCTCGGCTGGAGAGAAATCGTCCACAGGCTCCTGTTTCAAAACAGTGGACGGCCGCTGACCTCCGGAGTGCATGAGCAAACCAAGGCCTTCCGCTGGCCCAGGCTGCATGGAGCTGGGATCTTCACACGAAGAAACCGAGGATGAGGAAGAGGAGGATGAGGAAGAGGACAGTGACAGCAGGCAGCAAGTGGAGGGGGAGGCTGGAGGGTCCCGAGGGCTAGGGGTGGGCACAGGCTTGAGAGCAAGGTTTCCACAGGTCATTAAAAAAGCACAAGAAAACATTCAATTAATTTCTCATAGACCTTGATTTGAATGACTAGTGGCTCCAACAGCATTAAACCAGTTGCAGAGATGACAAAATCACGTTGGGATGTATTGTTTCACTCAATGAAAATAGGCAAATTCTATTCAACGTGAAGATTCTGAACTTTCAACTCACACCACATTTGTGTTCAGTATAACAGGAGGCATTTTTAATTAAGGTCAAAAGTTACCATTGCATGTACTGTATTCTTTTGCGTAAAAAGAAAATTCTTTCCGTAATCTTTTTACCATGTTTTTTTTTTTGATTTATTATATTGTAAATATAATAGTTGAAATATGTTGGCACAGAATATAGGTATTTATCAAATATAAACATATTTTTTTACAAAAGTCACTATTTAATACAATAAGTCCCTAAATAATTCACTCTTCAATTAATGGAGCTATTCCTTCCCAGAGTATTTCCTCCACGACAACGATTCTGGATGAAAAGGCGTCATTGTATTTTAAGAGGTCAAGAAATAGTAACTGTTAAATTTCTTCTACTTTATATTTTTTGAAGAAAAGACGTACTTTAAATTCATATGGTTTAAATATGTGCAATTTGTGCCATTTTAAAACAAAATTTAGCTCTCTTCAATTCCACTGCAATCACACAAAAGATTTTTAAAAAGAGGGACATTTTGATGTCCAGAAATATAACTTATTTTAAGGTATACTTCCAGTCTCAGATCATTTTTATTAAGTGTCATTATCAAGTATGTTACTATTTGAAAAATGCAGTCAATAAACAGCTAATTTTACTTTTATTTACATATTTTAATGTACAATTGCATGATAGTTGTTCAGCTACATGCACCAACTGTGTCCAAGACAACTTTTTCTTCAAAACATTAAAATTGTCTTTACCATCAAGTGTCATTACCATCACACAACCTATTGAACATCCTAATTACAACTAAAATATAATAAAATAATTGAACTCTGATTAGGTTTTGTATAAACTAATTCACTTTTCCACTGACTAACGTGTAAATAATGCCTAAAATTAAATGAAATTAGCCTCTAACTGAAGAATCTCCCACTTACATTTATATAGTACAGCAAGACGACAATAGTAACTCTAGACCTTTGAAGCTGCCAAATGGATCAACGTGCCATTAAAAGGGTCCCCATAATCATTAAATTGAGTTTGCTGATACCTGCAGGTACCCAGGTGTGGGCGGCTGTGGGAAGGCGGCGCTGGAGGCCGGTGGGGACGGATTTAGACCGTTTGCGCCGTTCACGCACGCTAACACGGACATCTGGGAGGTGCGGACGATGGCAGCGATGTTGATGCTGTCGGAGTGCGCGGCCACGGGCAGGCGGCGTCTCTTCAGGCCACCAGAGTTCAGAGAGAGCCGCGCCGAGTGACGAGAGACGGCCAGGGAGGAGCCGCAGTTGCCTTCATTATTATTAAACACATACGCCGTCAGAGCTGTGGTCGATGACGACAGGGCGGCCGAAACCCCTGCTGGAGGGTGGCAGGGTATCCATGGGTCATTAAAAAGCAGAAATAAGTACTAAAATCAATTTTGCATAGTCTTACTAGGGTAACAGGTGTCTCAAAGCGGTATTAAAGATGTCTCGAAGTGGCACTGAAATGTTCTTAATCTATTCAAAACTGAGCCACATGTTGGTCCACATTTTAACTCTCTTAACTACAGAGCTTAATTTTATAGCAGATACAAAAGAATTAATAATAGCAGTTATTGAATCATAAGCCCTAGGACAACTTAAATGTTGCTGGTGGGTCCAGACTTACATACCTTACTCTTATAACTTAAGAATAGCTCACTCAGTTTGCATCTTTTTTTCATGTAATTTAAATAAAAAGTATGAGAATGTAAAAGGTTAACCCTTTGAATCCTAGTCTAATTATTTGGCTGTTCATTAATATAATTATTCAACAACAACTCTAAAACTTTGCTGTTACCTGTAGTTATTCTAGGTCTGTCCGGTTCTCTGCCTCTCGCCCCCGAAAACTCGCCCGCTCCCACTCCCAGGCTGAATCCCTCCTGTTTGACGGGGAAGCTGACGGCCAGGCTGGAGCTGAGGTCCCTCTGAAATCCTGCAGACCTGTGAGGAGAAACACACAACAACAACATACACCCGGAGGAATATGAGCAGCAGTTAGAGCTGAGAGCTGACTGTGGACAATCTGAGGGCTATTAGCAGACTGGACTGTTGACTGATAAAGGCCAGGCCTTCTCAAAGCTGCGCCAACTCATCCTCCTCTCCACAAAACCGCACTTTTCTGAAGCCTCGCAAACAGACAGGCTCTGTGCTCTCAGCCAAAGGATTCACTCACACTCTCACACGCACACATTCACACCAACAACAGATCCAAATGGACTACAACCATCAGACACTGCAATAAAAATGATATCCTGGCATCCTGATTATGGGCAATGTACCTAACATTTTTCATTATGAGCTTGTTGTAAGAGACGTTGTACTTATTTTAAGTAATAAAATCTGTCCTGGCAGATTATCTTATGTCTTTCAAGCATTACTTTTCAAAAGAAGCACAATGACCTGCTACTGGATTATGTCCTCCCTCATGGTATACACCTTAAAACAACTGTTCTCACATTTTGTTTAATCATTTCTGACATGTTGCTCATAGAAACAAGCAGAGAAATTCTCTAGAAAGTGCTGAAACTTTCAAGCCACGCACATTTTTAGCCTTTAGTTTTGTGTATAGTCCTGTTTTCCTTCATATTTTTTATGTTTTTGTGGTTTTATGACATCAAAACAAACAGAAAAAAGACGTGCAGACTTGTTGATACACAATCTAAACTGAATGAGTGCGAATGTACATAGCTAACCATGTCAATAATTATGCAATTAAGTAATTATATAAACTAAACGTGAAATGCAAACTGACTGTACAGCTAAATCATGATAAAACAGTAGGATTCTAAGAGTTGAAGGCCTTCCAGCCTTATTGTGCTTTAATGAACCATTCCTCTGAGGTCAGATTTCTCTCAGGAAAATTTATAATTGTGGTATGCTTTAACCTGTGGTTTATTACCACAGCAAATGCTCCCTGAGCCACTCCATGAATAAATAATGCAGGAAATTTGGCCCTGGCTGTAGTTATGAATGGGTATTTAAGACTAAGACAGGTCGGAGGGGCCCTGAGCCTGTGAGTTTGACATGCTTTTGATGACACAATAGGGGTTAACCCAAGCCTGCATGCGGGCTGGAGAGACGTCAGCTGGTTCGGTGGGATAATGGCGCGCCTCAGAAGAGCCACCAGTCACAATACTGGCCTTTCTAGCGGGAATCTGTGGCCTGCTGAATGGGGACAGGTCGGATTTCCTGGTGCGTCGCTCTGATCTTCCACATAATAATTCCTGTCAGTTCACTCATTATGGATTTTGTGCAAAAGCTCCTGAGTGACGTGAGAAGGTCCTCTCCCTCTCCTCTCTATCTCTCTTCGCTTCCTCTGTCTTGCTCTTTCCCTCTCTTTCTCTGTTCTCCTGTCTCACACCTTCTCTCTCCTTTCTTTCTTTCTCCTCTTCCCCCTCTCTATTCTCCCGCTCACTCTTTCCCTCTTCATTTTCTCTCATCTCTCCTCACTGCCCTCTATCACTGTCTCTTTTCCTTCTATCCATCTCTAACCCTTGCATTTTTTCTCCTCTCCTCTCTTTCTATTTTGTCCCTCTATATCACTCCTTCCCTATCCTTATTCTGCCTCTCCTTTTCTCACCTCCCCTTTCTACCTCTACCTCTTTTCACTCCGTCTTACTTTTGCCCCTTTCTCTTCTATCCTCCATCCTGTTCTGATCTTTTTCTCTCCTTTCTGTTCTATTCTTATATATATCCCTTTCACTCTCTCTCTCTCTCTCTCACTTCTCTTTGTCATCTCTCTTCCCTTGCTCTCTACCCCTTTCCCTCCATTTCTTTCTTCTTCCTTTCATTCTATCTCTCTCTACCTCTCTTAATTTGCTCTTTCCTTTACCTATTTTTCTCTCTCATCTTTCTTTTTCCTCTTCTCCCCCTTCTCCTCTCTTTGGTCTTTTTCTCAGTCTCTCTCATCCACCCCACACCCCCCTTGAGATAAATTCATCTTTCTGCCCCTGCCATAGCTGCGCAAGTGAAAGCCAACACCGATCAGGCATAACATTATGACCACCTCCTTGTTTCTACGCTCATTGTCCATTTTATCAGCTCCACTTACTATATAGGTGCACTTTGTAGTTCTACAGTTACAGACTGTAGTCCATCTGTTTCTCTGCATACTTTGTTAGCCCCCTTTTACCCTGTTCTTCAGTGGTCAGGACCCCCATGGACCCTCACAGAGCAGGTACTATTTGGGTGGTGGATCATTCTCAGCACTGCAGTGACACTGATGTGGTGGTGGTGCTGATAAAACGGACAATGAGTGTAAAAACAAGGAGGTGGTCATACTGTTATGCCTGATTGGTGTAAGTGGTAACGTTATCACTCTGGCAAAACTAAAACTATACTTTTGCCATTTAACTCACTGTAAAAAAAATCTATTAACTTGAAAAAAAAGAGGTTAAATAAGCTCTAAATATTAAAGCAGCGAGGTTACTTACTTAAGTTAAAGTTAAGTTAAAACAACATATCACTTTTTCCAGCTCTCCTCTCAAGGCCACCACTTTCTGTCCGGCTGCTCGCAGTGATGTTCAGAAATAATACAGCCCAGTGAAAGCTCTTTGGAGAGCGTCCTTTTCATGAAAACATGTGTCAGCTTCACTGGAACCACACAGAAGGCAGACCAAACTCTCTCTTTCTCTCAGTGTCACCCAGCAGCACCTTCAAAGCTGCTTCATCTGACAGGCTTGTTTACTGCTGTTTCCACATAGTGAGGTTTGAAACAACAGTTTAACATTGTGTTAACACTGCAATCATGATTCTTATCACTCAGTAACTTTCCCAAGACCAGCCCAGGTTTTTTCCCTCAGATACTTTTTCCCCCACATTCTTTTCTCCACATAATTAATTAGAAACTAACATACAGCCTGAATACTTCTGTAGTAACAGGGTGACGTTTCAGATTCCTGTTAAAACAGAAATAAATCCAGTCTGTGGATAAAAGCCAGATCTGGGATAAAAAGGTCATGAGCAGATTCAGCTAGATTTCTTCATGGTTCTATTGTACAGATTTCTATAACGTTTGAGTTTTTTGATGGGAAATATATAATAATAATCATAATAATAATAATAATACCAATAATAATAACAATAATAATAACAAAATTCATGCATTTTATTTATATAGCACCTTCTCAATCTTAAAGTCGCCGTACAATATCAAATTACTGAAGAGAAAAAGTCAGTAAAACAAGATTTTAGGAGAAGATACAAAAACACTGGCTGGACAGCACTATGAAAAATAAGTAGGTGAGATAAAAAAAAAAAAAAGAGTCATCATCATTTGTTGGATGCCATTACGGTGACCGTAGTGGTCCTCCTGCCGAGTTAGTCTCATTTGAACCAGTTTACTTCATTGGACACTATTTAGCTGGAGCAGTGATAGCCTTTCAGTGTAATGGCAGTGTATTACACTCCATTTTATTTCAGATCTTACTGCATAGAGTGACGGCCTCTACTACCTTGTCCAAATTGTGCCTCAGTGGCTAACCAATATCAAGTTCAAGCAAGTTACCCAGCATTTATAAACAGGAGCACTTTGAGAAGAAAAAACACATTTCTTTAAGCAACATAGAGAACCACATGTGTGATTTGATGATTTCAGGCAATGGAACAGTATCTATGGCAAAGGTGGGAAGCTCCAGTCCTGGAGGGCTGTATTCCAGCACAGCTTGGTGCTTTTTCAGCTCAAGCTCACCCCCTGATTCAACTCATCAGCTTATTATCAGGTTTAGTTGGTATGCTGTGCTGTTTCATGCAGTTCCCCACCTCTGAATTATGGAAAGAAGTAAAGCTCAGCAGGGGCAAACGCAACGGACCACAGAGGTTTGAGGTGATGTCTTTAAATACAACTCTTACTTTTTTAAAGGCTTATATTTTAGATTTTTCTTAGATATTTTATATTTTTTTGCCCTGATGCCCATATCTACAATTTGATTTGTTTTGTCGTTTAAACCAAAAGCTGTCATAAATGTAAATGAGCTCCTTAGAAAACTGGAGTGAAAGGGTGGGGCGAAACTGCAGCTGAATGGGCTGATATACGTAAATGCATTGTTTTATGTGACAGGCTCTTACTGCAGTAAGTTACCACACATGGACTACACAGACTGTGGAGTTTTGAAAGCTTAAAAGTGTTTACTTGCTACTTCAAACTCGACATGAAAGCAGGGAAATTTATTTTTCCATAACATGGCCCCTTCTGTTACTCATCTTATGTTTTTGCTACGTTTCCATCATTTTTTGACATCAAAACAGAAAGCAAGTGTACATTCCAACCCTCAAAAGCAATTTATTACTAAAACTCGTTAATAAACTATATGGTCAATTATATATGTAATTATGTAATTATATAGCAATTGTAAAGCAAAATGACAATAACTCTACACTTGTAAAGACTATGACTCTACTTTACAGATGCCTCTTCCGAGCTTCATCTAAAGGTAAATAAAGCATCACTATTCTTTGGGTGCAGAGGATGTTGTAGGTTTGGTTACCTGGAATCCGGCTGAGGGCTGTTCTGCAGATGGAGGTTTTGCGCGGGCTGGTCGCAGTGGGTTCGCTGGTTGTACTGGTTTCCTGAAAGGTCAGGAAGATTCTGCCCACAGTGCAGTAAAGCACACTCCTCTCCTGCTAGCTCGGATCTGCCATCATCCTCCGGACAGAAAGACACTCTCCCTTCATTCACTGAAATCAACAAACAACAAACTCTTCATTCATTTCTTCTCCATTTATTTACAGCCTTGTCTATTATAAAGAACAGTTCATTTACAAAACATTCATTGAAATTACAGATGAAAATTTAAAGAAAACCTGATATCGAAAACAACACAATAAAAAAGAACATAAATCAGTAATACATGCATGAGCTACTTTAAGATCACCCATTGCACTACATACTTTGTATAATCTCCATAGAAAAGCAAGGACCAATAGAATGGGGCGGTCTGGAACAGCTACACATGAGCCTGAGGTCACCATGCCCAATGCTAAGTGTGGGCGGGAGGGGTATAAAGCCCCCCAGCACTGGGCTGTGGAGCAGTGGAACTGTGTTCTCTGGAGTGATGGAGCTCCATCCAATACCTTTGGGATGAGTTTGTGATCCAGAACTGACCATCCAACATCAGTACCTGACCTCACTAATGCTCAATCAAATCCTCACAGCAATGTTCCAACATCTAGTGTAAAGCCTTCCCAGAAGAGTAGAGGCTGTTACTGTAGCAAGGGGAGAAAAAATTCCTATTAATAATCCTAATTTCAGAAGAAACACTATAACTTTTAGATATATAGTCTAAGATAAAATAAATTACCTAGAAAAACTAAAACAATATATCATCGCTGTCGTAGCGAAATCTCACAACTCCAAAATGATTTTACAGGACACGGAAACTTACACCACTGTACACCATACCGATTTTGAAACATTTCTATTAGTCAATTCATCATGATTTTTTCACATGATATAGACTAGTTGTCATTTTTCAATGGTGTAAAAAATTAAAAACAAAATAAAAATGAGTTATGCAGTTTTGCTCTGACAGCACTGATATGTAGCCTCCCTTCAAAACGTATTTGCATATTTATTTATTTAGTTATTTATTTATTTAGTTATTTAGCTATTTAGTTATGGGAAACTCACTGGCTGACAGAAAAAGAACGTTTCTTGAGAGAAGAAAATCTTTCGTAGAGGAACCCAGGGAACCAAATACAAAACGAGACGTCTTGCATAAATGCAGCCAAAAATAAATATATCTCTCTCTCATGCTCTGATCAGGAAGACAGGTGGATGAGGTGAGCACTGAGAGACTGACCGCTCCAAACGTACATGGGCCAAAACAGACAGGCCAAAAAGCTGTCCAACACAAAATCTCCTCTAAACACAATGAAAAACTGGCCATTGTGTCGGTCAAGTTACATTTCTCAACAGCCACATTACAGCGAAATTGCACAAACATTTCCAGATCGTCATTTGAGTAGAAAGTAACATGACACAGGCGGAGTGTGTAGTTGTGGAGTGTGTGGAAACATTTTTCTAAAGGAAAGCGAACTCTCCTCAAGTGCGGGGGTGAGCGCTTGTTATTTCCAGTGAACCTAACTTAATTTCATAAATCAAATTCACTCACATTCATGTTATTAATAATCTTATAACACCCAATGAAGTCTGAGCTAAACCAGCACCCATACAAAACATTCAGAAAGAGAGAGAGAATAAGAAAGAGATAAAGAGAGACAGAGAAAAAAGAGAGAATCAAATGAATGAAAATGAGAAACAGAGAAAGAGAGAGAAAAAGGGGAGAAATGAGAATATCAAAAGACAATGAGAGAGAGAAAATGAGAGTAAAAGAATGAAAGTGACAGAGAGAGTGAGAGAAAAAGGAGAAAAAGAGAATGAGAGAGAGAAAAATGAGAGTGAAAGAATGAAAGTGACAAACAGAGAAAGAGGGAGAGAAAAAGGAGAAAACGAGAACGAAAGAGAAAAATGAGAGTGAAAGAATGAAAGTGACAAACAGAGAAAGAGTGAGAGAAAAAGGAGAAAAAGAGAATGAAAGACAGAAAAATGAGAGTGAAAGAATGAAAGTGACAAATAGAAAGTGAGAGAAAAGAGGGAAAAAGAATATCGAAAGAGAACAAGAGAGAGAAAAATGAGAGTAAAAGAATGAAAGTGACAAACAGAGAAAGAGTGTGAGAAAAAGGAGAAAAAGAGAATATCAAATGAGAGGCAGTGAGAGAGGCAGAGAGAGAGGCAGAGTGGTATCAGTGGGACCGTGAGGTTTAAGCGAGTCTCTGAGGTTGTGTAAAACTGTAAAACTCAAACTGGCTCCGCTCCGCTCTATAAACAGAAGGAACACTCTCTTTCACTTCTGTTCCGTTTTTCGGAGAACACAAACGATTCTGTTTATCAAATGTTGGATCGTTCCTGTTTGGCCGAGCGGCTCTGCTCTTGGAACATCAAGCTGTGCTGGTGTGCAACATCACTGCTGGCCCAACCACAGCCGGGCAGCTCCAAATTCATCCAGAGGGAGCTGAGTGGCTCATTAAAGCTGAAGTTTGGAATCCTTACGGTCTCACTGAGCAAGGATTCAGCGTTTGTGGTGCTTTAACGTAGGGAAAGGGGAGAGCGTAAGCGCTGGGACGCTGAGCTCTGCTCGGCTTAAAAGCAAAATTTGAGAAATCTTAATAAGTTGTGGGTTTTTTGTAAGTGCTCAAATTATTACTCAACGGTGGGTGACCGCGTGATGCACTGATGAAGTAGTTCGGCACAACGTCACATTCAAAATGGACAAAAAAACATATGTAAAACTTTAAGATGCTCTGTGATGTGTTTGTCATACAGTTTTTCTCACAGTGTGTCAAAAAACACAGAAGCAAGCCTACTAGAAATAGTCTACTAGAACTCGATTTGAGGCAAGACGTACTGTATTGTATGTATGTAGTTTACACTGTGCCAAAAAACTGGCCAAGCCCAGAATATAATGGCTTTTACTGATGGTTTTGACCTGGTCAGAGTCCAGATTTAAGCCCTATAGCAGAGGTCACTAATAGGTGGACCGAGCCCAGACCTAGACGCCATCCTATGCAACCCTGGACCTGTAGCTGATAAACTATAGAGAATTACTTAATTTCGACGGGTCCTATTTTAATCGGCGTAACTTTTCTAGTCATCATGGTGCCGCCGAAAAACTCACAGACCAATCGCATGCCTTGTAAATATCACGTGACGCTACTCAGCCAATCAGATTTGTGCATTACTATGAGCACAGAGACTCGAGTGAGTGACACACACACGGGGAGGTGCGAGGTGAGAGACAGCCGTCCGAGAAGAAAGTGAGTCAGAGGGAAGTTAATTCACATGGCATTCTCTAAAAAGAGAAAACGGACAATAAATGTTGTTGAAATATGACTGAATTGTACTTTTGATTGTACTACTATTTGATTTGACATTCAGTTGTCGACTACATAAGATGTTTATATAACTACTACTTCAGTAAACAGTATATGGTACGGAATCATGATGCAAGTTAGACATTATGATGTTCTGGACCTTTGCTTGAGGAAATTTTCTCTAACTGGACCTTACTGAACTGTGATTAAAGACCCCTGTCAGAGAGTGTCAGAAACCACAGAAGCAAGTCTACTAGAAAAAGTCTAGAGTACCAGTAGAACTCCACTGGATGTGAGGCGAGATGTACTGTATTGTACGTATGCAGTTTACACTGTGCCAAAAAAACTGGCCAAGCCCAGAATATAATGGTTTTTACTGATGGTTTTGACCTGGTCAGAGTCCAGATGTAAGCCCTATAGAGAAGATCTGATCTCATATTAAAAACACATTTGTTTGGCAGTGTTTTTCAACTGATTGAAGCCATCAATTCTGAGTGGAACAACACTGACTCTTTTTTGTATAAAATGTTTGTCTGCAAGTTTACCCATAAGACTTCAACAGCTATCACATACCGTTACTTTATCTATTTGTTTAATGATTTGTTGTTCAGACCATTAAAAGCCTAACGTTTTGCCATTTTGGACTTAATCTGTTTTCTTTTCGTCCGGGAGTGTTCACAGAGCTAACAGGTGAAGTATAAGCTTCTGTGATATGTTAGCTACATCAGCCTCGTTGCTCCAGCGCAAAACTTCAGACACCAAACACGTCTTGGTGGATCAGCAACATTTGGTATAAGGGGTAAATCTATGTAAACAGACGTGATTTCACACCAAACTATCACTTTAAGAGCAAATCTGATAAAGGTAAGAAACAGTGGATAGGGGACATGGCGATGGACATTCCTACAGAAGACTGGGAGTCATGTTTGAATAATATCAATACAATGTATAAAGAAATGTGCAATAGGTTCATTCAATTGAAAATAACACACAGATGGCACCGGACACCACACCAATTATATAAATATACCTAATGCCAGTAGATTCTTGCTGGAGATGTGAAGGAGGTGGTGCCTCCATTCTGCATGTACTCTGGTCTTGTCCAGCACTTAAGGACTGGTGGAACAATATTTAAGAGATTATGTTTGAAGTACTAAACAAAAGTTTCCAAATCTCTGCAAAACTGTCTATTTTAGGTTCAACCACTGAACTTCAAGACTCTGACCTCTCTTTCTATGAATAGAGATGAATTATTTTGGCTCTTACAACATCTAAACGGACATTTCTGAGACACTGGAGGAAGAGTTGTCTGCCTCCTTATGAAGAATGGACTACAACACCTGGCTGCTTTTGAGAGAGTAACATACTCTATACTGAACAGACTTGGTCATTACATGCTTACAGAGTCCCTTCACCAACTGGCTATCAGCAACTTAAAGACTTATAACTCAGTACTAAAAACATGCTGTAACCTGTGCCTAAACGTAAATGTCAGTGTGGTGTTTTTTTAGTGGTGTTTGTCAGTAAATACTATATATTTTTCAGTGACTATATTCTACACTGATCAGGCATAACATTATGACCACCTCCTTGTTTCTACACTCATTGTCCATTTTATCAGCTCCACTTACTATATAGGTGCACTTTGTAGTTCTACAGTTACAGACTGTAGTCCATCTGTTTCTCTGCATACTTTGTTAGCCTGTTCTTCAGTGGTCAGGACCCCCATGGACCCTCACAGAGCAGGTTCTATTTGGGTGGTGGATCATTCTCAGCACTGCAGTAACACTGACGAGGTGGTGGTG